TAGCCTACTCGACTATATAGCCTACTCGACTATATAGCCTACTCGACTATATAGCCTACTCGACTATAATATATATTATAGTATTCTAATATAGCTCTTAATCGCACCCTTTACTTAGCCCCCTTAGTTAGGTCAGACTAAAAATAGACCTAAGTATCAGCTTAGGTCGATACCCAATAGTCAGGTAATGTATAGCTTCATATTAACATCCCTATCTATTAGACAGCCACCTACTATGAAGTCCAAAGCTCGTCCGCTGATGGCGAGTGAGTACCTTGTATCGCTGGGTGCCTGGGGCTGGATCGCTCTCCTGCTACGAGCAACTCGCATCAGTATGTTAACACCCTTCTCCGCCAGACCGTGCTACATCCATTGACGCGTCGACACAGCATTCGCGCTGCTCCTAAAGGTCGCACGCGCAGCCATCGGCAGGCCCACGCGCTTCGACACATTGTACGAGTATGTTGTGTACCAAGGCATGCTGGATTTCCAGTCCAACCTCGATGCCGTGGCCATTCAGAACCTGCTACCGTCCACAACGAAGACGTGTCGCAGCGTAGCCAAGACGCTGGGCATACCGCACACCGAGATCCGACTTGGCGATGGAACCATGGCTATACGGTTGGGCCGCGCAAAGACGGAAAAGGTCATTGTGATCTTCCACGGCGGCGGATACATGGGACCTGCGCTCCCCGAACAGGTCAAGGTCGCGTGGGGGTTTGGCGATTCTCTCCCAGGCGACACGTCTGTCTTCATTCTCCCATACGGTGAGCCTTTCAACTTGCTGGACAACGCCCATCGCTAATGACATGCCATAACAGCCCTCGCCTCGGAGACCGGCAATCACTACCCCCGTCAGCTCCAGCAGGCTGTAGCGCTCATCGACTATCTACTTGACTCGCAATCCGTGCAGCCCTCGACCATTACATTGATCGGAGACTCTGCCGGCGGACACCTCGTGCTGAATCTGCTGTTGCACCTCGCACATCCGAACCCCCTCGTATCGCCTCGACCGATTCAAGGACGCCTCGCCGGCGCCGCCCTCATTTCGCCGTGGGTCGTGAACGGAAGCGCCGGGAGATCGATGACAGACAATACCGACAAGGACATCTTAAGCCCCGCCGCCCTCGAGTACTGGACGAAGAACTACATGGGCGATTCGGCGCCTGACTACTGGAACAGCCTCCTCACGACACCGGCAGAGTGGTGGGCCGACTTGCCGGTCGAGGACATACTCGTCGTGTACGGGGACGACGAAGTGCTTCGGGACGGCACGGCAGCGCTGTGCGAGGTGATGCAGGCTGGTCATAAGAGAACGAGAGCAGTCAAGTTCCCGCGCGAGCTCCATACCCATATGCTAATGAACCGGTTTCTCCGTATCAATAAGCCTTGTGCATCCGAACGCGTTTTTCTCGAGTGGCTCTCCGAGTGTCGGCCTCGAAGGGATCGGTAGAATCGTGCCACGTCACAGCAGTCATCAGAGTCTAGGGAAATAAATATATTCATGCCAGAAACAGTCCCCCTTGCGCACATTGATATCCCACCACACGTACGGAGTCACCAGATCGGCCCACTCCATCTGCAACGCTGTGCCATCTGCCGAGCCGCGCAACGTCAGCGACGCGAGGCCAAACCTGACGTCTGCCACGTACCGCATCCAGCCACCGGCAAACGACACGTGCAGCACCATGGGCCACGTAGGATGCGACACGAACGCCATCTCGTCCCTCTCGGGCGTCTCCTCGAGGTAGAGCACCGCCTCGACGTCTCGGCACGCGCCTCGCAGCGTCTCGGGATCGGAACGCGCCGCATTGAGGACCCAGAGCAACGGCTCATTCGGCGCCAGCATGTCGAGGAACTGCTGCAGGTAGCGTGTGAGGCACGGCCACCGCGCAAACTCGACCAACAGCTGCCAGATCCCCAGCACGAGTGGCTGGCTCCGGTCGCCACGCGTCACGAGCTGGTCGGCAATGACACCGGCGAGACCCGTTTCCAAGTCCCGGCCCTGACGCAGCAGCGACCACAGCACCCACGCATGCTCGAAGATGGCCGCCTCCGGGCTCTCGTCGGCGAGCTTTGCTAGGACCTGGAGAGCGACGACCGAGGTGTTGCTCGCGCCCATGGAAGGCATCGCCAGCTCGTGACTGCCAGGTGCCCAAGGCGTCACCTGGCTGAACGACGCGCGGGGCCGCTCGTCAGCCTCGATGCGGTTTCCAGAGACCAGGACCATAAGCGTACGACGCTCGGCAGAGTCTTGTGCATCAAAAGCCAACTGCAGCTGCCGTTGCATCGCCGTCGCCTGGCCTTCGAGCGCGGCGATTGTCGCGTTACGGGCCTTGACGGTGGCACGCTCGGCGCCTAGCTCAATCTCCACCCCCCTGAGCACCTCTTCCGTCTCTTGGAGCCGCCGGTCGTCGCCGCCGTCGGCCTCCGAGTCGTTGTCGGCGTCCCGGGGATCCTCGTCTTGGAACTTTTGCGAATTCGCCAGCTCCTCGTCGAGGTTCTCCGCCCTCTGCCGCGCCTTCGCGAGCTCCTGCCTTAGCTGCAGGATCTGCTGATCCCGCTCAGCCAAGTCATCGTCGGCACGCAAGCCGCGCTTCAGCACGCAAGCCGCCTCTTTGATGGACATCTTGTAAGCCTCGACGGTCAGCCTGTGCTTCCGCGCCTCGGCGGTCGCGTCGCGACGGGCTTTCTGCAGGTCGACGTTCTTCTTCATCTCTTCGTCGAGGCGTCGTTCGAGCTCGCGCTCGCGACGCGCCGACGTCGAGACATCTCGACACTGTCGAGACCCTGCTCCATGCCCCTGCACAGCGGCGGGGGGTGCTTCGCGATGCGGAGAAGCTCCTTGACGAGTTCGCTCGACGTCGCTGCACTGCCCTTTTGGCCTGCTACGACCTTCTGTAGGTCTCTCTCCACCTCGGCGTTGGATGCGAACAAGGCTTCGAGGCCTCCCACGCTCACAAGCTGAAAACCCGCGATCAGCAACGTCGTCTCGGGGGTAAAGGTATAGTCAAGGGTGCCGCTGAGGCGCTCCTTGGTCATGATCCTGTTACACGCCGCCTCCAAGGCCGACGCGTTGGCCTTGAGCACCTGAAGCCCGGAAACGAGCTTCGCCTGTTCGGCGTCGTGGGTCTCCAGCTCCTCCAGCCGTGCCTGCATCGCCTGCTTGTCAGCTTCGGTGGTTGTGCCGAGCTTCTTCGCGAGGTCTTGCTCCGCCCGGACGAGTTCTCTCAGCGCACGCTTCGTCTCGTCCATTCTCTCCTGGACCGCCGTCGTCTTCTTGTGACTCGCCGGCTGCGCAAGGCTGAAAGCGCCCAACTTGGACGCAATCGCCGGCATCTTCTTCGGCATCATTCGAGGGTCAGGCAGCGATGATGACGCCATTGTGGCCGTCGCGCAGTGCTGTCGTGATTTTATTGACCCTGGAGATGGAAGTCTGAGAGCGGGTTTACGAACTGACTTCAGCGAAAATTTAAGTAGTCGCACAAGAGGCAGTCACGATTGGCAGTCGTGGTTAAGACAGCCGCAACCAGTGCCCCCTCAGCCACATACCATCCTGCTAATATTGCCGTGATGCTACTGGCTCTGGCGATGGAATGGGGTCATCATGAAATTCGAGGCAGTCGCTTGAGGCAGCCAGTGCCCACCTACCTACCAACACTTGCTGAGGTAGGTACTATGTCGAGCACTTGCTTGGACAGTACACTGACCTTCATACGAACGTTATTTGGAGCATCGTGCGCCGGACATGGGAGGAGCCCCAGGATCGTCCCTGCTCCGGCGTGAGCGGGAAAATCTGTAATGTATCAAAGAATCTCAGCCCCAAGTCCTTTGATCTTCTCTCCCTTCTTCAGCCCTTTCACGACATTCAAAATGGACTCTACAGAGCCTATAAACTCCTTGGAGGTCCTCGTTGAGAGGCTCCTCCAGATCCAGCCCCTACTCCGGGCCGTCCATGACTCTGTCATCAGGCATGGCCCAGAGCAGATGCACTTTAGTGTAACGGCAGACCTTGACGGGGAAATTTCGACCTTGATCAGGTCAGCCCACCGGGCGGCCGAGGGCGTGATCGAGGTCGAGAAGACTGCTGCTCGTCGAGAGATGAGAGAGTCTTTGACCGGCGAGGAGAGCGTGCTCAGGCCAGAGTTCTAGTCTGAAAAGGCTGTTCTCAACCCCGAGATCGAGGCGCTGCGTTCAAGGCACGCCGAGCGGACTGCCCAAGAACGGGCAGAGAAGGCCATGAGGGCACAAACGCTTGACGCTGTCAAAGTTGAGGACGAGGCGAGGTTCCGACGGGCCGACGCCGAGGCCTAGACGCGGCTGGATGCTGCCAACGCTGAGGCTGAGTCGAGGCTCCGACGGGCCAACGCCGAGGCCCGGACGAGGCTAGAGCAGGCAGACGCCGACGTCAGATCCAGGCTTCAGAAAGCCGACGACGAGACCAAGGCAATGCTTCGCAACGCCGATACCGAGGCTGAGGCGAGGCTTGAAAGAGCTGCCGCCGAAGTCGACAGACTACGGACCAGGGCCGACGCGGAGATCCAGGCGAAACGCGACGACTCGGAGGCCACATGGGAGACGATCTCAGCTGTCAAGAGGTCTGAAGCTGCCGTGATCGCCGAGTCGCGCGTGGCCGCGGTTGATACCAAAGAGCTTGCGGCCGAGGCGTGGGAGAAGGCGGTCACCATGAGGGAACGCACGGCGGAGACCATGATGGCGACGATGAGAGCGAGGCTGGCCGACGCCGAAGGCAAAGTCGCCGACGCCAGGGCCAAGCCGCATGCTGCCGAGGACAAAGTCGCGGCCGCCGAAAACCTCCTCGCACAGGCGCGCATCCGCTTTCAGGAGAGTGCTGCGGAAGCTGCGGACTTGGTCCAAAGCAGCCACGCGGCTCTCGCCGAGTCTTTCCAGCAGGAGATGGTACGGAAGCAGGCTGCGGCGGATGCCGAGGCAGAATCGGTGCGTGAGAGTATGGTGGCGGCCCAGACGAGGCGCGACAGGGAGCTCGACTTTCGCGAGGCCCAGCTCGAGGAGCGATCGTCTTCGATCGACCTCGAGGGCAGGCTGTCGTCCATCGTGGCGCAGGTCAGCCAAGAGTCCCGTGGCGGCGAGGACGGCGAGGACGGCCAGGTCGATGCTGGGCAGTCTGCGCCGCAGAACCCGAGGCCCAGGTTCAGCCAGTGGGACGACATACTGGTACCGTTGAGCGAGATCCTGCGGCACATACCGCTGACACGGGCCAACGTCTCGGTTCGCTCCGTCATCTTCAAGGTCGCGCCGTTCTTGTCCTATCCCCGCATCGCCGATATCATGATGCGCGAGGTCGACAAGGTATTGCCCGAGCCGGTGTCCGACAGACTCATGTGGATGTGCTGGTTCCACCTCGCCCACTGGGCTGAGGACAACCACAGGTTCATGTCCACCTGGCAGCCTCACATCATCACGGGCACCACCTGCGGGCACTGCAGGCGCCCTCACCAGTGCCTGCGGTTTGCCCTCGTGGACGAGGGTGGCGAGACGCGGTACCAGTTCCGCCTTGCGAGTGACGAGGTACAGACATGAATTAGATGCTTAATTATATTTTTATCACTTACAGATTCACGTGAACAACGAAGTTGGGTGTACAATGTGTATTGATGCTTACGACGTACGGGATGCAAAGAGATCACGGGCCTCGAGCTCCTCGACCCTCGGCGGCTGCCCCGGCTGACTGAGATCAAAATGCAACCACGGCTGCACAATGTGTTCCGGCACGTACGTGGCATCAGGCAGCTCGAGGTCATCGCCGCTCTTGCGCGCGCTCGTCGAGGCTACCACAAAGTAGGCGGAGTCGTTACCGTACGCGTTGCGGTCGAGGAGGGCGGCCCACGGTGACTGTACGGAACATGCGACGTTGGCGGCAAGGTGGAATGCATGCACCCCTTCGTCGATGCGACATTGGTCCACGCCAGAAACGCGGAACGCGTTGCAGCAAAAGAGGACAACCGTGACCTGGTGGACGTCGTCGTCGGAAAGCGGACGGTTGCAGAAACCGAGAAGGCTGATGCCCCTGCGGCCGAGGAGCTCCTCGAAAATGTGTCCCTGCCGTCTCTGAAGCTGCTGTAATACATTCACCTTGACCTTTATCGTGGGTTTCCATGCCTCGTCCATCGTCGTATCCATCGCAGTACCGCGGTTTTGGGTATTGTTTCACGATAGCAGTATAGTTGACGTTTGGTCAACGTTCAACATTACCTGCAGGAGCTGAGAAGCAGAGGGCCAGGAGGGAATATTTTATAGGAAGGGCCAGGGAAGGCGGAAGCGCAGGCTGGGCCAGCTGCCCATGTCGCGGATGAACGCTCTCGTTCGCAGCGACGTCTTGCAGAAGAACCTGGCCGCCGCCACACGCGCCGAGATTGAGAGTTTCCGCGACGAGCTCGAGCTCGAGACGGGCATCGAGGAACGTCTCGGCGACGTTGAGGAGCGAATGGAGAGGCTCGAGACGAAGATGGCGGACGTTGCGCGAATGATCAGCTACCTCGGCGGCGACAAGGCCCACGAGAGCGTGCCCAAGACCCTGGCCAGCGTCGTCTGTCAGAATGCTCGCCTACGCTCTTCCGGCTTCACCCTCGACGCTGCCTGTCGCTTGATGACGCTGCTGCTGGAAAACTACGGCGCCACAGGCCACCAAGAGGCCACACCAGAGCCTGCTGTCGAGCCCGAACACGACTCGGGGGACGATGCCGTCGTGGACCCCGAGGTCTTCAAGGAGCTGACGAGGGAGCTGCATGCTAAGCCTGCTATCGATACCGATGTGGCTGGAGGCAAGAGCTGCGCAGCAGCCCGCAAGCTCATTAATATGGCCGGTGCAGGCTTTAACGCCCAGCCCGAGTGTCCGGACAGCAAAGAGTCGGTAACGAAATCGCCGAGCCCCAGCGTCAGCAGGTAGTCACCCGATGGACTACTAGAGCTATACGGAACGCAAGGGCCACGCAAGAGGCCGAGGAGTAGGAGGAGGATGAGGAGGATGAGGAGGATGAGGAGGATGAGGAGGAGGCCGAGGAGGAGGTTATAGTTGCAGCTTACCGGTATTACATGCTCTTTCTCTGGTACATGTTGTGACATAATAAACACTATCGCTATAATCGTGCTGTCTTATCTCGCTGTTGACTTCCTTCTGAGGTTAAGATTGTAACCCTTCAGGGCGCTGACTGTGATGCCATATTTTGCGACGAACATAGTCGTAGAGGATATATCACATGAAGGTCTATGAATTTATTATTCATTGCATGCAAGTCACAAGGGATGCAGGGTTTCTGTGTGTGTAAAAAAAAAAAAAAAAAAAAAAAAAAGGATTAAGAGTCTGCTAGCCACTCCGCCATACAATCATACCGGGCAGGATTGATGAAGTCCATCGACTTATGGTAGATGGGTATCTGATCTCTGTGCTGATCTGATTGCTGTTCTCCCGTGTATTGAAAGCCCACTAGTTCTAGCATAGCAGTCGCAGGGGGCGCGCTATCGGACGTGGAGAAGGACGATGCCGGATACCGCGTCTCTTCCGTCCCAACGCTTGTAGGCTTTGCAGCCCTAGCAGCAGACTGGGCAGCTCGTGGCACTGCAGCACCGAGAGACGAAGGCCAACCACCCTCGATAGAAGCCTCATCCGGTCGAGCAACAACAGCGTGCCCCCGCACGTCGGGCCCACGCGTCTGCTCTCCTTCGGAATGTTCTGGTTGTCCGAGGCTATTACTCGCCTCGCTGTCAGACACAACGGCGGGGGGGCCCATCGAGTCGGACGAGTCGCCCAAGTCACCTAAGTCACCCAAGTCATTCGACTCGTGTGACTCGTGCGGCTGGGCGTTCGGACCAGCCATCGGCCGTGCTGCGACAGTCCTGTTCTTCGCGGTGTACATGTTCTTGTAAACTCGCTTCGCGGGCCTCGCAGACGTTGCATCAGGCGCAGCCGTCCGCTTCGCAGACGTCACAGCAGGCGCAGCCGCCGCGATGGACGCCTCCTCGGGCGGTATGGCCGTCCGCGCTGGAGTCTCGAGATGGAGAGAACCCTGGAGTGGCGGCAAGCGCTCAATGGGCTCCACAGTCCTCGTCCGTTCGATCTGCGGGTATTGTGTTCGGGAAGGGGTTTCGGGAACTTCGACGGCACGTTCTTCGCTGAACTGTGTGGGCGGGATCGACAGCGACTCGGGAGGCTGTTGGCCAGCTAATCAGGTCAGCAATGGTTGGGGCGAATTGGTGGCGAACATACCCTCAGAATCGCCCGAATTGGATGACTCTGGCAATTCTGATGCTTCCGGCGTAAGTCCCTTGTCCTGAATCGCCGCGAGACGGCGCTCCCGAAGCAAAGACCGACGCCGGACGTCAGGAAGCTGCGTCTTGATACTGGGAATGTGCCGCTCGCTCCTGGCTTTGCAGGCCAGTCGCTCGTAGTGTGCAGTCGGCTTGAATCTGGGCACGAGGGTGTCGAGACTCTTGATGACGCTCGCCAAGTGGCGGAGCTGCACCTCGTACTCTACCTCGGCTTCATCATCATCAAAGTCCCCTTCTTCGACGTCGTCGTCCCCGTCACCCGCCAACTCGTCCATGAGCAGGACCAGCGGCGGTTTCTCTCCCGCGGCCCCATTGCTGATCTGACGAAACAGCGAAGCCATCGTTTGAGAACCATCTGAGGCCGCAGCCTGTCGTCCGAATTCTGCGAGGACGGAGCCTCCCACCATGGTCTCAAATTTCCAAGGTCGTTGGTCTTTGGTATGGCAGGCGACGGCAAACGCGATGGTCTGCCGCAGCGCTCGAATGTCCCTCTCCCAGATGGGATGGCTGACAAGAACGATCAGGTGGGTGCAGTACATCTGGTTCATGTTCGGATTACGCATGTTGCCGTGTCGAGGCAGCGCCTTGTGCTGACGAGTGCTAACTCGCAGGGGCGCCGACATCAGGCGATCAGGCGTCTCTCGCATAGAATACAGTGTCGCCTTCCAAAGACCCCCGATACCCCCGTGTCTGCCGGTACTGGGATCCAGTAACGCGACAACGACCGGGTCATCGTTCATAGCTCTATCGAGCTCGTCTTCTTCTTCTTGCGTCCACTGATCACCAAAGGTGGCCGCTAGTAGCGAGTGAAGCTCTCCAATTGTGATATTCGGAGGAGCTTCCCTCCTGGCCCTCTCCACTATCTCGTCCTCGTCCTCGGCTTCGTCCCCCAGCCGGTAGCTCCACTTCGACTCCTCCGTCCGGGGCGCGGCCGCGCCTGGCTGGCCATGCTCCGTTGGAGGTAATCGGACCATCTTTATCTGATATCTTGGTGTAAAATCTGATGTCTTGATGGAATTGGGCTTTTCTGGGTGTTTGGTGATGATGATGCTGGTGATATTCTTTCTAAGAATAAAGGCTTGGCTTCTTCCTTGTGCTGCACCCATGTTTCTGTAGGCAGCCGTTTTCTCGCCCCTTCCACTTGAGACATGCATCGCTGATTTGACTTATGACAAGGTAAGTTCTCCTCGTCTACTATCACCTCAAGGCTATTATTCCATTGCTTTTCAGCATCCTCTGCTATCATCCGCAGCAAACTCGTCACCAGCATTCCTGTTGCCTGGCGTCGATCACGGCTCTCAGAGCACGCCGACCAAGAGCACTGGAGCAAACGGACAACCAGCGCGTTTCCTAGCAATCTCTGGCTACCCAAGCCCTGGCTGAGTCCTTCTCCACTACACCTGGAGCTGTTGCTGACCCCTTTTTTCGACAGGACTCATTACCCAACCGAAGCGCTCCACCGATCCCATGCCTGTTCCCCGAGAACGTTAGTGCTAGCGGGAATAAGGGAATGCACAATACTCCTTTATACTCTCGTCTGCGGTTCCGGTGACCTGCTCGTTGGCTCCCCTTGAACCGGCTCCCTCGCTCAGTACCTTCTCGTCATCTCCAATCGACGAAACAGAGGTCTATATGACAGCACAAGTCATGGAGTACACATTTCACGTAAAGAGTAATAGGTAGCGCAGGAACGAATATATTCATACTCTTGCCCTGCGTCCGCAGCCCGTATCAAAGCACTCGCACGCCTTTACCAAGTCTCGCCGGTGCTGATCTGTAGCTGCTTTTTGAGTGCTAGAACGTTGTTTAGAGCAGAGTGAAGGGATCTTCCACAGGGTCCGCAGGTAGTTAGAATATATGTATGGGATAGGAATACATCTGAATTCTGGCTCTCCACAGTTTGCGGGGGCCCTCCGCAGCATATATATACGTTCTCTTGTGACCCTTAGCCCCTGGCCAGCCCCCTAGCATTGCAGGCCCTTGCTGGCTCCGCAGGGGTCTTGACATTGAGCCTTCATCGTGGCACGTCTCGTGCGTCCTGTCGACGTTTCCCGCCGCGGTAAGAGCGGCTAACTCGCGCTTCCACTCATCGCTGATGAGTTGCCGGATCTCGTTCCGAGTGGCTAGACAGATCTTGCCAAACAACTCGCCCTCGAGTGTCCGCAGCTCAGCTGCGTTAATGTCCGAGACGAGATCGTTGAGACGCTCGACGTTGGCGGGCGTAGGCACGTGATGCTGGAAGCAAGACCTCAAGAGCGTGCTCAGCTCTTCAAGCTCCAGGTGATGTCGTCTGTCGTGCTTCTCTGTGAGGAATACGGCCGCTCGCACGAGAGCCCCGATTACCTGGGTGTACTCGGGACGCCCGGGCCGACCACGTAGGCCTCGCTTATTGTTCAAGCGCACCACGACGTCCTCAAGACGTGTGGCTTGCTCGAAAATCTCCGTGTTCCAGACCAAGAGGTCGTGAAACGCGTCGAGCAGCATGTCGGCGTGCGCAGGAGACTTAGGGTCTAGCCCAGGCCTGGCAAACGCGACTCGAACGCTCCAACGGCCGCTTGACGACCCGAGCACTCTCTCTACGAGGTACTGAATTTCCTATGGCATGCCGGGCGGCTGCACCAAGACGTTGCTTGTCCCGACCATCGTCACGAGGCCCTGGCGGTTGAAGCTGCCGGGAACTATCACCGAAAACGGGGCAACGCCATGAACGGGCACATCCCCCAACTGCATGTGCTCAGCCTTCCACGCCTTGAGCATGGTCTGCTGCGGCTTCTGCTGCTTCGGCGCCTTGCAATTCTTTGCAATGTGCCCAGCCTCGCGGCAGTTGTAGCAAATGTGCTTGCTCTGAACCGCCGCGGGCTTGGCGGGCTCTGTAGCCTTGCCATTCTTGCCGACCTCTGTCCATCCGCTGGCGTCCAGTCTTCTCTTCTCCATGACCATCCGACTATATATAGAGTCGCGAAGGCCCCTGGAAATCTTGGGCTTCTCGGTAGGGAATTTCATGTCAACTAGATCGAAGGCGTTAGTGAAAGGAAGCCTTTAACGTGCGATGGATGAGAATAACTTGCGATGAAAAGCCCAGACGCCCCCGACCGCTAACCAACACAGGAACCGGACGCCGACGGAAGACAAGCCTAGCTCGAGAAGCTTTTTCCGTGTCTTGTAGACCGATTCGCCGTATTGTGCAAGGGCGGTCGCGTAGGTTAAAGGCGTCGAGTCGACACCTACCTTCCTCGCAACCAACTCCTTGAGCCTGGTATCCACGAATTGATGCATGGGAAGAGATGACGGACCCTCGGCAGTGTCTATCCACTCGATTCCTTTATCCCATTCGGCGGTTTCCTCTTCGGCTCGAGTCTCGTCCGTGGGCCTACCGGGGACAGGGTCCCCGGTCTCATCCTTGGACAGCCCGGCAGCTCGCTACTCCGAGCGCTTCCCCCCTCGCCGCCTTGGGTCCTGGACCAACAGGCAGCTCTGTCTTAGGGCCCAGAGCAAGCGCTGCCATGGGCGCGCTCGCGGCGTCGATTTTGGACATTTCGTCCTCCATCTCATCCGACCACTTCAAAATAAAGGGCCGGTTTTCCTCTTCCGACTTGATGGTCAGGCAAGGACAGATTCACAGATTGATGCTGCTTATGCTGCTGATGCTTCTGGACTGCTGAAATGTCGTTGGTGAATCCTGGAGAGGGGGAAGAGAAGGATAGGGCCCTGGAGAAGGAAGGTCCCAGATAAGTCGTCTCCAGACAGGACCTCGGCAAACATCATGGAATATACTCGCACGTGCCATCATCATGGAGAGACTATGCCAATAAAATAAAACAGACACGGTATAGGTACGTCATGCAAGGCTTAGAGTCACTAGCATACAAGTACAGGTGCCGCAAATAAATTCAATTACTGCAAGCAAAACCAGGGCCCTTGGCCACCCCCTCATCTCTACCAAACCGCCCATCACTATGACATGTCCATCTCGCCCTCCAGCACGTCGCGGAGGTTGCCCCCAACGGCTGTATCGAAATCGGGCTCGAAGGCAGTATCGCCTGCCTCGCCGCTCCGATAAGGATCACCGTTTGGGCGTGTAACCGATCTCGTCTGTTGGCCCAACTGGCAAACCAAAACTCTTCGTCTGCGTGGCCTCCATCTCCGTATCCTCGCCAGGGCCCTTCTCCGCTTGCGAAGAAGAACCATAGGGGATCGTCGACTTCGGGTCTGCAGTAAGGGTTGTCGGCGGGCCATAATCCGGGACGGTCTCACAAACGGGGATCGGACGAATTGCCTGGCCGCGACCGCTGCCGCTTGTGAAAGGGTTGTGAATTGATTTGGTCAATTCACCCCGCGGCTGCAGCTCACGATCCTCGTTGTGCGTCGAGTGCGCCAAGTTCGCCGTCGGCGTCGAGACCCAGCTTGCGGCAGCAGCCATGGCTTCGCGCTTTTTAACTCGTCTTTTCTCCCGCTTCAGCCTGTTTTTCAAGGTCTGAGCCGTGGCGCTTGCGGTTGTCGCCGATCTGGGCAAACCCTCAGCCTTTTCAGCTTCGGGCAGCGCGCTGCTAGACGACGCTTGCATGCTCGACGGAGTCACAGACGGGGCTGGGTTGACAAAAGTCTCCCCATTGCCACGCTGCTTCTTCGCAGGTTGCCGCACGTTAGCCGTCGCCGCGTCCACAGCACTACGTTTAGCAATGGTCGCGGCGCCGGCATTGTCACCCGTGGGAGAGTTGGGTATGACCTCCAAGTTGGGCTCAATGTTAGCTGCCCTCAGCTGATCCTTCAACTGATTGACGAGCTGTACATTGTACCTGACCTGGTTGTTCAGGGACCGAACATGATTGGCATGGTTCTTCTTCAAGGTTCGGCTCCTTTCGGCATGCCGTTCCTCGAGAAGTTCCAAGTTACTCGCGTGATCTTTGAGCCGCTCGAAATCGCTTTCGGCTGCTGTCTGAAGATTCGCACCGTGTTTGCCCTGGAGGGTCAGTGGATGATGCCACTCCTCTCCGGCTTGTTTGACTTTGTACGCGATCAGGACACATGGTCCGTTTCGGTAGAAGAAGTTCGCTACAGATACTGCTGCGTCGTCCCTCGTTAAGCACTTAGTAACAGTTGCGCCGTTGATGACAGTCACGGCAGGCAGGTGACTGAAACCGTCATCGTCGACTAGGTCCACTGACTGAATGACGCCGCTTTTTGATTCGCGGGTCGTCACCAAATGTCCCGTGCCCTCCAAGCGCTCGAAATTGTTATCGTGGTAACAGCGAATTTTGTTTGCCACTTCCAACTCGGCGCTGGTTAGAGCAGGCGCTGGGGACACGAACGTCGCCCGTGTGTCCTGCGCACCTGCTGCCGGCCCGCCGCGTGCGTCACCCAGCGAGCCCCCGCTCATCTCGTGGCTGTTACTCATGAAGCTTCAAAAAATCAGCAGGGGTATTAGATGACGGAATGGGATGAAATACCAGGTGTTTGTTGTTTGTGGGATGTGATGCTGTTAATGGATCATTAGCTCTGGTTCTGATGATATCGTGGCGACGGCGATGGCTGACCTTTGAGTTTCGGGAGCGGGTTGAAGGAAGGAAGGGGAATCAGAAAGCAAAGGTCGCAAAATTTCACACATGTGCCATGATTGCTGCCTGCGACTTCATCACGTGGGGCTGTCCAAGGCAGGTGCCCGTAGTCCACGAGATGCCATACTGGTCGTCAAGTGCTATCCGCGTTGCAAGTCATCAACTACAAGTCATCGACTACAATATTTATCCTGTGAGCCTGGAGCCCCTGGCTCGCAAATCACAGTACCAAGTTGCATGCTCCAAGTGACATCCTTTCAGGTTCGAAAAGTTCCTAATCCCCCTGTTGGCCCCCGATGTTCTCTCGTCGAGCGTCGTCCATTGCGAAATCACGTGCTGCATCGCGCCTGCGCCTTCCGCCCCTGCCTCATGCCGGCCAGCCTTGCGTAGTTGCCTTATCCCTGAACACCCACAAACTTCTCTTCTCCCCTTTCCACCTCTTCATCACCATCACAGCAGCCACGATGAATCAAGAAACCTACCGATCCATCTGCCCTCCCAAAGGCACTGCCGAGGCCTGCAGTCTCACTGTTGTGCTGCGCGCCATCTTCAGCCTCCTTGACTCCAAGGGGCGCCAGGAGTGGTTGTCCCACAACATTGATTTTCTCAAAGTCTCCCTCGATGACAAGCTCATGCTCGACCGAGACTATGAGCAGAAGCAGCAAGATGCCGCCAGAGCTCTTCTTGAGTCGAGCTACGAGGGCAAGACCCCGTCGCCATACATCGAGTTGGCCGAGTGCGAGCTCTTGCTGAACACGCTGTGGGCGTCTTCTTCAATGAAGCTGATCAGCAAGTTCCTTGTGCGCAAGAAAGAAGGCGACAAGTGGTCGGACTGGGGTCCCGTCAACGTCTCCGATCGTGACTTGGCTGATTGGGGTCTCGTCGACTACGATATGACTAAGGAGAGAGAGGGCACGAGCCTGTCAGAGGTTGCATGCAGGCGCTTGTGCATCTTTAAGAAAAGCGAGACTCTTCATTTAGACCCGTTTTTTGCATGTCCGATGATCATGCGAGTACGCCACGTCCCTGGCCAGCGTAAGTTGGATTTTATCCAGCTGCAGCGCTTCGTCATGTGTATCTATTACAAGCGCCCGTACTACCTTCTGGCAGCGGTGCGTATCGACGACAATGGCAAGGAGACTGAGCGCGTTCGTCTCTATAGGCCGTTCGGTGATCGTATCACAACCAAGTGTGAGGATAAGACGGTGAGCGCTCACTACATGGACGACGAGTGGAATGTTGGTGAGCCTGGCTTTGTGTACATGCTGTACTACCTCCAGACAAGCGACCTGAAGCCTGAAGACCCGGGTGACGATCAATTTGTCCCGGAGTCCGATGAAGCTCGGCGCATCGTAGCCTCGCTTACGGGAGGGGCCGAGCAAAACAAGAGGCAGATGGTTGAGAAGAAGGCCGGCGAGAGCGCTGCCATGGGCGAGCCGCCTCGCGCCGAGTCAAGCTCCAGCAATGCCGCCCGAGAAATATCGACGTCGAGTATCACCGAGTCGTCCCAAGCCGCACAGCAACGGAGGCGCGAGGACAAGGGTAAGGACAAGGAGCTGCCGAGGCCCATCGCTTCGAGTGGTCGAACCAATACAGGATTGTCTTTGGCCCAGTCGATGAGCAGTGAGAAGCGGCCCGATCAGGACCAAGAATTGCTTCTCCCTGGTAGAATGCGCTTAGAGGACGTTGAGCCTGTCGGAGCTGGATCGTCGGATTTCAATCAGACGAGCCCCGTCTCGCCGCATCATTCTACTAAGGAAGTAACAGGCAAAGAGATTTGGGATCTTATTTTTAGTACGATCAGGTCTGAATAGGCAGAGAAAGGAAGATTGTCTCTTCCTGTGAGGAGGCTTTCACTTCAGAAACAGGCATGGGCATGGGTATGAAATGATCAAAACCGTTCCAGCGCCGGATCCGAGGCGATATAGTCCTTTATCGCCTTCATGCCCTTTCGGGATGTACTGAAATCGACCCAATAACCATCATTCGTCTTGCACATGACAGTGGAATGGACTGTGAACATGGTGTTAGTAATTCTCTGAAGCCTGGTTAAGCCCAGAAAGGCAACTTACATCTTTTAGGCGTCTTTCGCTCTCCGCCGTGGCCCAGGACAAGCATTCCCAGCGAGCGGGTCTCGCCGCCCTGCTTCTCTCTCGTTTTCGCCGCATTGGTGAAATCGACATCCTTCCAGGCTCCGCACCAGTTGGTCACGCCGTATGACTTCTCGAATGGTTCACAAATGTGCAAAGATTGGCCGCGCTTGACCATTTCCCGCATCACAGCCAACCCGACGTCGCTGCCTTTGTTCGTCAAGGTTTCGTTGACGGCTTGGCGGTTGAGGTACGCAATCTCGCCGACGGACGTGGAGCGCGAGTGACGGTAACGTGATGACGCATAGATTAGGGCGTTGTGGATATAGCCGTTGCGCGCGGGGGACAAAAGCTGAGGGACACGGCCACGCACTACCAATTGTGCGTCAGAGACATTCCGACGGTAAATATGCTTGATAGAGACTTACGATTGACGGTTTGCGAGAGTGAAACTGTAACAGGTGATGTCTTATACATGTGCGCAAACTGGAGCCCATACTAGTCAGCGCTGTTGCCACATGTCTATGGCCATGGGAAGAAACCTTTGTCAAGATGCCAGTCAGAATGTCCGCGTGCGAGATTCCCGGGTCAGCCCCGTACTTCTGCTCCAGCTCTTTCGACGTCCGTACCCGCATCGACTCGACCATCTGGAGCGGGAAGAAGATGATGTGGCTCTCCTCGGCATATAGGATCAATTCCAGGATGAAGCCGAGTAGCACGAACACGTACTCGCCATACCGCCTGACCCGCATCCACCCCTTACGGTGCGTATCCCGCTTCGGGAAATCCTCAAATGCCTTATCATGTGGAAGTACCTCTTCGTCGTACCCTAAGAACGGAGGAGGTGTTTTCCCCTCGAGAATACCCATCCATGCTTTCACAATGTTGGCGAGACCAAGCTGGTCGCCGAAGACATGCAGCATGCTGATGGCGACGACAGTCGCGTCGGTAAATGTGCGGATGTGGACGTAGAGGATCGGGGCGTCAGCAGGATCATCCTTTTGCTCAAAAGGCCAGTCGGCGGGTCTGAAGCAGCTGTCGACGTCGTCGATGGGCTGGAGGAAAGCGATGCCGCTGCCCGGGGAGGGACGTTTCAATGATTCAGTGACAGTGCCAATGGAGGCCTCGGTGTCTTCCGAGGTCCAGTTGAAAAGCACGTATTCATCGTCGAATGTCTTGGGAAGATGATACTCCCACTGTCCGTTTTGGGTACCTCGGACCACGCGCGCCCCTAATTTGCGCCAGTGGTTACGGATCAGATCTGTCAGCGCGTTCCGAAGAGCATCGACGTCTAGACGGTCGTTCACGATGAAGAACGTGCGCGTTCTGATGTTAGGAATAGGGGCGATGAGATCGGTGAGAGGGATGGGAATGGTGTCCATCTTGTCCCTATACTAGCACTCCAGCTAGACTAAGTCTGATGAATGATCGGTAAGCTGAGAAACAGCATTGTCAAAGGGGCGAAGGATAGTTGGCGCCTTTTAGGTAGTCCTCAACCGCCTTCCCAATAGGTGATACGGCTTATACCCGGCTGTTCCACTGGGCTGAGGCTGCGCGTCAGCAGCTAGTTTACCAAGAGGCCCGGGCTCATGGGTCAGGGTATCATTTCGTCTAAAAGGGGTACGTAGGCCTCCACCCATCGTTCGCCTCATCCAAGGAGAAGTCATAAAAGCCTCATTCCAGCGAGACGCTCGACGACCAGCCCTCTAGGAAAGAGCAGTATCTACTTGCTTCATCGTCCCGGGCGGTGACCATACTCTATAGCTCATGGCAGCTGTGATGGAAACGAACCAGTCCACTGGATTCCTCGGCCCACGGATAATCAGGCGCTGTCTCCGGCGGTGAAAGCGGTCCTTGACACCGTCATTAGCGCTTATTAGCTGGTGGATAACATACTTTCCGCTAGCCCAAACAGTTACACTCGCGATTGTGGGGCTAGATTGGACGGATCTAGAGAGTTCACTCTAACGCCCGCGTCGACAATTTAAGCCTCGCTAGCTCATGGACACCATTCGGGCGCGGTACCTCGAAGGCTGCTTGGTCGCGCTGGCGCCGGGTGAGGCGTTGCCCTGGGTCCTTGACCGAGCCCGCTACAGTCCCGACTGTACGGGCCGCTTTCATGTGCCAAGATGGGTGGTGTGTGGATCGGGATGTGGCAGAATGAGACCGGCAGGGGGGTGCCGGGTGTTTGGCCGGAGTAGGCCAGAAGGACCGAGCGCGGAGGAGGTGATAAGGATGGCCAGCGGGCTACACATTCTAGAGAGGCCACTGTTTGGTCGAGGGTGGGATGTCCTGCTGATTTTTGCTATCCTGAGGCGGACGGTATTGCCAAAGAGGCCGTTGTTCTATCGAGAGCAGAATGTTCAGCTTCCTTACGCTGTTTGGGGGGGGGGGGCGATGGGATGGATTAGGAGGACATTACCAGGCGTTCATCGACCATGAATGTTTGGCTCCCTCAACTTGTGGTGGGATCATGGATCCGGGAAACCTACTCGCAGAGGAGCAACTGCGGTTACGACGTTTGACCTGTCCGCTGATCGTAGTATGATGCCTCTGTTCTGCTGGTGTGCTTACCTGGGAGCACGAAATGCAGCCATCGCTTTTCCAAAGTCGGGGGTTACGGCTGTACTTTCAGATGCCATGGGATGATCAATATTGAGGATTATGAATCTGGGCTCCAAACGTCAGCTGATGCGGACAGTGACAACGCTCGAGTTGCGCTTTGGCAGATGCCGCCTGAAGTGCATGTCAGGGATGCAGCGAACGCCGTTGGCACCTTCCTTCTCGATTGTTACCCCGCCATGGCTCTCTAATCCAAAACCCATCAACAATATCCCAGAACACCGCCACATCCCCTCCCTGCTGCATCTGCATCTTGATTCCGCTAACATTGCTTTTGACAGGGCCGAGTACAAGACCAATGCAGGAATAAAGTATCACACACAAGAGCCGAACCACATAAGAGGAGGACAATACGGGCAGGGTTGGGAATGGCATCCATGAGATGATCGGCGTAAGAGCACCGAACACGTAAGAGGGTGAATGTACTCGCGGGCAACGGGAGACGAGCTGAAGATCCGAAACCGACCGACGGCAACATAAGCGAATCGAGGTTGAGCATGCCGGCTAAGAATGGCTTCCACCGATCAACGCAAGATCACGGACTGCACAGGAGCAATACACGGGGGCAAGAGCTTGAGAGCACAAGGTCACAAGAGCCTGACATGGGCGAGTCAGGAAAGCAGTCCGAAAGGCAGTCCAAACCTTTTGTGCTCAAGCATTACGTTGGTGTGGCCAAGAGAGCATCAACTGTCGGCGGTCGGCGAAAGATTCCAGGATGAAGCAAAATGAGAACACCACGTGGGGCAGGAGAGAGCACGAGAGCCCAACACGAACGAAACCGAGACCAGGGTCCAAATAAATACTTCTAACCTGTGAGAGAGGTGGCAAGATCAGGCAAAAAGCTTAATCCGATATCGTCAAGGTTGCTGACCGGCTCCTCCAGGCTGCTAGGACGAGATTGAACATATCTCGCAGCCTCCCACATCTGACACGCCTCTACTCGTAGGGTAACGGAGGACCATCCTCCTAAAGACGATTTCTTCATTGTTATTATCTGTGACTTCATAATCGTTGCCAGTGACAGCAAGTACAGTGCTTGTAACCATGGTTGAATCATTTTCCCGTTTGATGTAGACATCGTCAGTCCTGGTACCATGCTCTCCCTGCGACGAAGATGTTCCCCCATGATGCCAACGCTCGCAAGATCATTATTGACAAATAGCTAGAAAGACAAAGGAAGCGAGAAAAAGTCCTTTCACACTGGGTGGGTAGACTCCATGCATCGCGGCCGAGCTCGTCTTGTAGCGCACGGTGTGTGTTTCCCGACCTGCGGAAGCCTGGTCCATGCATGTGGTTATTTTTGTGTCGATTGATTCTTCCGACTTCAACTGGTCCAGATAGTCGTCCGTCAGCTGGCACCAAACAACACAGCTCTCGAGGCCAATGCGGTGAACGTAGGGCGACGGGCAGCATTCGTCCAAAGCGTAGAGACTCTCGTTTGTGTAAAAGGTCGCTACCCAGTTGACGCTGGTGGGAATGCCGTAACCTGATGATGACATTATGTCCCAGGCTTCTGAGCTATTTTCGCATTTCGACATGGCTGCTGGCTGGGCGAGACGGTGTTGGTGTTGTTTAGTGTGCGGAACGCTGGTGCTGCTGCCTGAGTAGGCGCTCGAACGTAGGAATCTTATGATTTGAACGAGTGACGATGCGACAATTGGGCCGTATGCATCGCGTGTGCGGCTTATCTATATACGTAGATATTCCCGCCAGCTGGTGGTACTGGGTTCCAGCAAATCTGGGATTCCGATCCTCGCTACGTCATTGACGCTACAGGGCTGCGTACACATGCTCACGATGCCAAATCGGTGAGCCAAGAGGCAGGAGTGTGCCAAGGCTAGCACCCAAGCGACAAGCATCCACTGGTCGAAAATAAGATTGCTGCAATCCTTCCAAAAGGATTCCACGAGGCTAACACAAAATGAGAAGCTTACAAGATCATACTACGGCAAAGACAATCCTTTCGCCGAATTCACCGGAAAACCAGGCTCCATGCAATGTTCAGGTTGAACGAGTGATAGTGCTCGTGACGTCATGCCAGCCGCGCGCCGCTCGAGACCGCATGAGCGCGAAGGAAGTGTGCCGCCTGGGCAAAACTTTGT